AAAAGGGCACTGCACTGTTCCACAGTTGCTGTTAGCGGTCACCAAAGGCACTTGGTAGGCCGGTAATTGGGTCACGTGTCAACAAAGTGTCAGCAACGTGTCAACAACGTGTCGACCACGTGTCTTTAGCGGTACACTAATTTGGTGTCCCCAAACTGAAAACATCGAGCACCAGTATGGAAAGGCTTTAGACAGAAAGCCTTTCCAACAAGAGTGTGCAACTTCCGGATCTCTCCTGCACAATCTGCAGATACCCCGCGCCCACGGCGGAATTTTTTGTTTACGTCACCTTTTTTCAGAGAAACGCGGCTTTGCCGCAGAGCAGTGTGAGAGCACGTGCTGGGCACCGACCTTGTAGTGTAAAGCCCAGCCAAGTGCACGAGGGAAAACTCTCCAAAAGGCTCGCAGCGCGTGCGTCGTCGAAAAGATTACGTCAACAAAAAATTCCGCCGTGGGCCAATCCATCCGGAGTTGCACACTCTTGTTTATCTACTCTTGGTCGTATGCATGATGACAAGAGTACATAAAGAGTACAAAATGTACCCTTGATGATGATGACAGCACAATAACAAGCATGCAAGACGCAGGCCAGCTGCCAGCTCCAGCCAGACACTCTTCCTAGTACAATGGTAAATAATTACTTGCTCAATGGCCTATTCACAAGACAGGCACTTGCACGTTTTACTCGACAACAGGCACGTTTGCATTTTTGAATGCTTCACCGACCAGTACTACTACTAGCATGGCAGTGAGAAACTTTCGCTATTTTCGCGGCCATCACACATTCGCGAATATAAATCGCCGTAAACCTCTCCGTACACTGATTGTAGACCGTACAAGATCCGATTGAAAATATAGAATCGCAAACGTTTCTCAGTGTGTGTGTGTGTGTGTGTGTGTGTGTGTGTGTGTGTGTGTTTCTGCGTCAATGTTAGGTTTTGTGTTTCTCATTTTATTATGCAAAGTGTGCGTGCGGGTGGTTCACTGTTGGTCATCCACCCATGTATTGTGTATTCTTCTCTCTCATTATTCTTACTTTTGTAATTCTGTATCAGATACCGTACATGTGCAGAACTTGAACATTCAAAGCAGAACCTTTACTGTAGAATTGTAATCAAGAGCACTGTAATTTCACAAATTTTCGGTGTACTTTTATTTTCGGTACTTTCGGTGCGTCTGTTTCATACCTAAAATTTCAATACACCGAACAAACACTAACACATATAATCCAATAGGGAACTGCTTCTCTGTACCGAAAATTTCTGTTCACCTAGCCTGGCCTGTTGCCCTCATACCGAAAATATTGAGCACCGAAAATTTCTGAAATTAGAGTACTCTCTACTTGAGAATGTGTTTATTCACAAAGCCAATTGTGAACCATACTAGTAATCGGCATGACGTAAGAACTTGTATTTTCATGACGATTGTATCGGTTTATTAATTTTGCCCGTACAAGAGGCTTCGTAATGTTAAAAAAAAAACACATGGAGTAAGAACCAAAGCAAAGAGACGATTTCGTCACAAACCAAATTCGGTAATAAAATAGAACGCTCAGTTGAAGTGCAAGATTGAACACAACAGCTTGACAAGAAACCGTTACGTACCTATGACCTAGTACTAGTATAGGGAACAACAGGTATTGTTGCTGTAATCATAATGACAGCATACCGTAATAGCAAGAGTATATAACACACTCTTGGGGCGGTTATATACCGTATTTTCTCTAATAAAAGCCCGGTCTCCAATAATGACCCGGGGCGAGGGTTGTTTGAAATAATAAGAGCACTGTCTCCAATAGTAGCGCGGGTCACGACTGGAGTACGCAACACGTGTATTGACTGCATATAAAACAGTAGCACAGCATGCCATGCACATATTTGTAAGGAGGTTTGCGGTCTACTACTTCCTTCCTGGCGCCCATGTTATTGTGAAACATCAGTTTTGACAATATTCCTGCGTTTAGGGTTGAGCAAAAAATCAGTCTTGATATGGTCAGTTTATGCCTATATACAGTCCATTCAGAAAAAGATGGACTTCTAGCTTTTGGCCATAAATGGGTCAAACTTTGAGTTTTTTTAGAATTTTTTTCTGCAATCCCCTATGGAATCCTCTTCCAATTATGTTTCTGAAGTTTTTTTGTCCAAAAAGCAAGCCATAACAAGAATAGGATTTCGGCCAGGTTTTGCCCCAAAAGCACTGAATTGGGAAAAACTATAAAAATCCAGGCCGTGTGACCCCGCCTGCAACAGTGCATTGTGCGGTTCGAACCCCAGTTCAGGTACCCTTTTTGGACCCTTTTTCAAATTTCAAATTTTGCAGTACTGCACTGTGTACGATGAAATCAAGAAAAATCGCCAAATACGGGAGCTCGCCAGAGCCAGGACCCACCTTTTTATGAATGGACTGTAGACGGAGTTGGCTTGATGGTGGAGCAATGAAAAAATAGAAGCACAGTCTCCAATAATAGCGCGGGTAGAGCTGTCACTGAAATAATAAGAACCCCGGGCCCTTATTAGAGAAAATACGGTACTCTTGGTAATACTTGTATCGGATCTGCTACATCCGTCACTATGCGTCCATGGAGCTATGAAGCCGAGACCTCTGGTCGGCGGAGCTTAATGGGCCCCACCACCACACTCCATCATTCACCCCAGTGTCTGGAGATATGTGGATTTTGTAGAAAGAAAAAAAAAACATATTTCATAGCGCTGTTTCCATGATTGTCGTTGTGTGCTTAGGGCGCGTTCAGACTACCGATAAAAAGTGACCGATTGGGAAAGTCGCCGAGGTGATTTGATCACGTGACGTTACTGGCACGTTACCGGTGGGAAAGTTTTACTGCCGCGGCTGCTGCGGCAGTAAACTTTTACCGGCAGTAAAAAAGTGCTCAGGCTGCATGCGCGCTGCGAAAAAAAGGGAAAATCCCTTGTCAGTGCCGCGGTGAGAGCTGAAAACTTCACGGTAACGTTAGATTGTTATCGGTAGTGTGAATGTCCTTCACGGTTTATCGGCATTCACGGTTTGACGGGGTTCACGGTAGTCTGAACGCGCCCTTAGGGCGTGTTCGATGCCAGCTCTACATAAAAGGTCATGAACTTTGTGAGGTCATACTCATAAAATGTACTATAACAGGTTGTACCTGCCAAGTATGGGGTGACTTGCCCCGCAAAAAGGTGACGGCCATCTTAGATGCATACATCCCACTGTAACGGCATAACTACATACTAGTATATCATCCGCATAACCTCCATAGAAGATTACTGTATAAGCAGAAATATTCGTCTGGAATTTAATTTCGTCTTTTTCGTCCAAGGAACTTTTGGACTAAATTAAATGCCGGACGAATGTCAATTTGTCCAGCTACTCTATACACTCTTGTGATCCATGGACGACATTTTCAACCGGACGAACTCCCTTTCTTTGGAGTTGGACGAAATTATTGACGGACGAAATGTTCTGCCTCTACAGTACTAGTGTCAGTGCACATTGCTTACCTGTACACATACTTGTCCTCATCCATGCCTTTGCTGGGGACCGGGTGCACCACTGGATCACTCAATCGGGACGCGACTCGACTGCACATCCGACTCAGATCATCGTCTCCAGTTCGCAATCCGGGCCAGAGGTTCTCCACGGCATGTGAGAAAGACTGGTGCATGGTGCAAGACAAAGCCGGTCATCCACCAGTCTCCAACACACTGCACACGTTCTCTGAAACGGCAGATACGACGTAACTAACTAAAGTACTGGCTAGAATAATTATAGCATGCACATTAACCTGACACGGACCGCCAACAATTATACCAGCAGTCGAGTTTAAAATTCAACGAGTAATCGATAGGAGAAAATTAACGGTCGCTTTAGCCATGACGTCTTACCATCAAGAGTGCATACGTGCTATAGACTCTTGGATTCATGATAACCAGATGCAGACAAACACTCAAAGTTCAAACCATGTATTAAAAACTACCCTGTACTGTGTACAAGTATTTCATGGATGTCCCCTGCTGGGATTACATGTAGTAGTGTGGACTCTTGGTAGTACATGTACATGTACCTTGCACTGACTTTTACAGTGGCAAATAATTCAGGCTGAGCGCGACGCCGAGCGCGAGGGCAATCACAACAACGAGCCATACAATGAATTGTTCCACAACAACTATTAAACTTGGAGCTGCTATACTAGCTGCCAGAATGTCTATGGATATTCATACATGCCACATGGCATGTAACGGAGACCACTTGCCTTCGGCCACCAGATACAAGCAAAGTTAGTTAGTTGGCTGAAGGAGGACGTGTCATCTCTCACTCCCTATCCAAACAAACTGACTCACTCAGTCATGAAGCCGGCTCGATCTAGATCTGTATCTCTAGCTGCGCTACCAAAGCTGGAGTAGAGAGCACACTTTCGCGAAGAACTTCATGAAGGGCCAGATTCTTGAATCACAGATTTTTGTAGTTTGAGTACAGGAAAAGTATTGCAACAATGCTTCTGATCGCTCAGCTGGGTCCTTCGTGCAACAAGGGGCTTCTGCAGCACGTCCGGGCACTTGGTCCGCGAAATCAGGCGATTGGTTTGAGTCTTTGAGACACCAGCACTTGCCAAAAGTGTCACCCGCAACGAAACAAAACAATCAAAAGTGAACCCAACTCTCCTTTGACCACTCAACGACACCACAACACAAGCGACGATTTCATGCAATCATGGGATGAAACCAGGGAGTCCCAGCTGAGTGGAACTTGTACTTTTGAGTTTTCTGATGCTTGCCTTACATTTACTGTATCCCGATTTGGGAGGGTTTACGTGATTAGATTATAAAATCCCACCGTGCAGTCGATTTCGAGCTGTCGAGCTGTCGCCCTGGCCTTGTATTGGCCTTGAAACGCTGCATGCAGAGGACGTCACGGGCGTCACATCAGTAGATTCAGTACAGAGCAGTGTGCATGACTTTGATTGTGTGCAGTACATCAGGTACATCTCGAGATGGGATTTGCAGAGCAGTAGAGAAGCTCCGAACTCTGGCCAGACAGTCTATCATCTCCCAAAAATTCGAGTCCTCCGTTGTAGGCAGCCACCTGTTATCAGGCGAAGGAATTACATCCGCTGCCGAGGAGAGGATTTGGCGATTCCTGCCATGAACCCGAAAAGTAGTGGCAGCGTGTTTCTCGAGTATCGAATTGAACTCTACGCGAGTGCAACATGATGTAAAGACAACTTTGAAATTTTGATCTGAGCGTTTCACTTGTGGCAAAATATTTTCATCCATTCCTCACTACCTTTACCGATGATGAAGGATGAGCCCATCACGGCTTCTCTGCCGATATCCAGTGGCCGAGGCACCTCACCTGGACTAAGCCCGTGTGCAACTGCGGCAGAGCCGACCCGCCAGTGTCCCGTTTCTCCTGCTGACTTCGTACGCGGCGGAGCTGCCGATGATGGCCATCAAATGGCTCGTAGAACTCCCGATAACATGTTGTTCACAACGTTTCAAAGCCAGGCGCAGAACAAGGTAGGAGCCCTAAACACAGTACAGTTCTGTTCATTGTACATCTCCCCTAGCTTTGGCGTGGCTATTTGTTTCGCTTCAATTATTTTCAATTACGGTGTAAATTGCATTTTGCAAAGCCATGTCATTGGAGAAGTCATAGGCTGTTCTGGACAGAGCGTTGCACAAGCCTGCCGGCGTTTTGGCATCTGGCTTGGATTGGCCGTGGCAGCATTAGTATCATGATTATTACTAATATTAGGTTTGGGTGATTCAGGGCATCTCGTGTGGACTACGGTTTGTTCACCTCCACCTAGCTCCCCTGCATTTCAATGCTGCAAGCGCACTCACTCATTATACTTTCTAGTTGGCGATCAGGAAGATACCCAGCATACCACACGGTTATGTGCTGAGTTTGATATTCTCCGGCCACGCACCACCTCGCCTGGAAGTCCTCGTGGCGTTTCTGGGGCGCACCCACGCCCTTTCCTCCCCAGGAGCAATATCGCTCGCGTTTGTGTTTGCTTCTGTACGAAGTAAAATCACGATAATTCATTATCAGCGGGTACGCGTAGATAAGGAGTTTGAAGGCCTGTACGACGCAGTCGTGTGCACTGGAATCATTTCCCATCCTGCGATACAATCAGCATCTGTCTCATGGCGATGAAATTCTTATGTTCAAGAGAATATCCAATTTTAAAGTGTCCTGTCTTTCTTCCAGTGTTGAGAAACATTGCACTCAATTGTTAGCACGATCCTTTCTCGTCCTTGCTGATGAGGTATCACATCATCTGACTAACACAGCCGGCAGTTTCCAATGTGCCATCCTCGCTGTCGTTCTGTGTGTGTGTGCGCGGGTGTGGGGTGTATGTATATGCGTGTGCGTGCACTTGGCATGTCGTGCGGCGAGAGATGAGAGGTATCGATCTCGCGACTCTGCCCCCGCGAGGGCAAGTCCGAACGCTGTTTTCGAAGTGTTTGGCCTAGTTCCCTGTCAGCGTGCTGTCATCGGCTAGACGACACTGTGTGGAGGGTCCACAGTATTCCGAACTCGACATGACATGCACCCGTCAATCATTGACCAGTATCTGAGTAGGCGAGAGCCTACAGCGGAAACGGGATCCCCATCATCTCAATTTCCCCATATGACTGGCTAGATGGCTGCTCACTATGGAGTCGATTCCTGTGTACTCAGGCATTCAGTTGCCAAATGCTCTCATGTGCACCACACTGCAGCGGATTAATCTATATAATTCTCTCTCTCTCTCTCTCTCTCTCTCTCTCTCTCTCTCTCTCTCTCTCTCTCTCTCTCTCTCTCTCTCTCTCTCTCTCTCTCTCTCTCTCTCTCTCTCTCTCTCTCTCTCTCTCTCTCTCTCTCTCTCTCTCTCTCTCTCTCTCCCTCCCTCCCTCCCTCCCTCCCTCCCTCTCTCTCTCTCTCTCTCTCTCTCTCTCTCTCTCTCTCTCTCTCTCTCTCTCTCTCTCTCTCTCTCTCTCTCTCTCTCTCTCTCTCTCTCCCCCCCCCCCCTCTTGCATCATCATACACACTATTGGGAGTCATATCATCTGGAGAGATAGTATCATGGTCAAGTTGAACCTGACATGGTGTGGGTGTGCCTGTTCCATGTTTACTCGGGCCAGGTCCATGTTAAGCCTGCAGCACTGGTCTTGGCCATGCTTAGTATCGGAATGGCATGGCCTCAATTGCGATCAGGCGTTTGCATGGGCGGTGGATCGCGTAGAACATCCAAATCCGGTTTTGAAATGCACATCGTCTCAAATACTATAGTCTAGCGCCGCCTCCCTAGATGATACGACTTCCTGATACACGTATGTGCTCGTGCACACATACACACACGTGCGAGCGAACACACACACACACACACACACACACACTATTTTAAATCATACGAAGCATTAATTTCACCGCCTATTTTGTGTTATGCGTGTGGTCACGAGCTCGAGATTCGAAGTTATAAACACTTCACTCGCCAGCACCGCTGCCTGCAAGGCCGCTATGCGCTATGATCTACAGTAAAACCGGTGACTATTGACCACCCCTTGAGGCCAGAAAAAGCGGTCTTTATTGGCAGGTGGTCCTTCGGTAGAGGTTTGCACCGCAGAACCATGATAAATGAATGTGAGACCGTCCGCGCCTGGCAAAGTGGTCTGTAGTACCAGGCTGGTCGCTAGTCACGGTGGTCTGTAGTACCAGGCTGGTCGCTAGTCACGGTGGTCCTTACTAGGGTCTTTAGTTACAGGTTTTACTGTAACTGGGTGTGTGATTATTCTGTGTGTCCACCTTGCAGGTTCTAGACCTGGTTGAGGATCTGCGCGACGCGTTCATTGCCAGGCGCAAGTCAACGTCCACGAGGGATACAGTGCCTGGTGAGAGTACAGCGCTGCAGGGGAATACCTATAGAGGTTATTCTGCGAATGATGTCATGGGGGGGGGGGGGGGGGGGAGAGAGAGTCAGCGGATTCGCTTTTGGGCCGAGTCAGCGGATTCGCTTTTGGGCCGAGTCAGCGGATTCGCTTTTGGGCCGAGTCAGCGGATTTGCTAATGGGTACTACCAAGAGTAGATAAACAAGAGTGTGCAACTCGCGGATGGGTTGGCCCACGGCGGAATTTTTTGTTGACGTAATCTTTTCGACGACGCACGCGCTGCAAGTCTTTCGGAAAGTTTTCCCTCGTGCTCTTGGCCGGCTTTACACTACAAGGTCGGTGCCCAGAACGTGCTCTCACACTGCTCTGCGGCAAACTGCGCGTTTCTCTGAAAAAAGGTGACGTCAACAAAAAATTCCGCCGTGGGCGGGGTACCTGCAGATTGTGCAGGAGTCTGGAGAGATCCGGAGTTGCACACTCTTGTTTATCTACTCTTGGTACTACATGTATGTATGCAGCGTGAGTCTCTAGTGCAAGTGCAGCGCTATGCCGCGAGTGGGCGGCTTCATCAAAGCATCTCCACTGATGACTTAATTGCATAACCTCTATACTATTAGGTGTGGGGAGTACTTGTGAGAGTGACGGCGATGACGAACTTTGATAGCTAGCCGATCCAGGATAAAGCCACTGTCTCTGTCTCTCTCTGTCTCTCTCCCTCCCTCTCTCTCCCCCCCCCCCCCCCTCTCTCTCTCTCTCTCTCTCTCTCTCTCTCTCTCTCTCTCTCTCTCTCTCTCTCTCTCTCTCTCTCTCTCTCCGCTCCTCGCAGATACCCCAGTTGGCATCCCGTTATACCTTATACCATTGCCAATGATATCGTGAAATATACCTTTGGTGGGGGAGGGTAGAGGCTGTGCAGTGTTGGTAAATGTGAGTCTCACCGCCCTGGCCCGTTCTCTGGCATGGTACATTTTGTTCCTTTTTTGGAAATTTCATCCCTCAGGTCAGACAGCAATCACCTTTTACTTGACGCGTGTGTGTGTGTGTGTGTGTGTGTGTGTGCGCGCGCGTGCGTGTGTTTATCTGCATGGTGTGTATTCTGTTGACGTAATGCAGGTAGTGATCTGGTTGCGTGGATGCGGGACAATCGCAACCTCCCGAAATGTAAGTTGCTCTTTGCCGCGTGCTATTATTTTCACCACTTTTCCCAGCCTCTCATCACCGGGTGATGGTGGTGTTTGTTAGTGCACAGAGACCACTGCTGTACTGCAGTACACGCTACAGTGAGTGCGGTCGAGTTTGCCCACGGATCGATGTTGAATCCATTCGTAAATCGCCCGTGCCTATTCACATCGTCCCATGTGAATGGATTCCGGAACCGATTCCAGGGCTCATGACATGAAATTGAACGGCGAGATTCCATTCATCCATCATGGCAGTGATCGAACGCACCCAGTGGGATCTGAGCAGGAGACTAGCACAGAATATCCTCGTTTCTCAACAGTCCTGCTTTTGGAGGTTCAGGTTTGGAAACCTGTAGCCTCAAGGGACTGGTAAATCGTGTTGTCAATATTACAGTTGTCTGCATGTGACCTGTAGGGGTAGATTCTACTGTACGTGTACTCACGCACGCATGGACACATACAGTCTCTCTATCTATCTATCTATCTATCTATCTCTATCTATCTACAAAGGAGTAATTTTGGCAATTGCCGGCAAAGTGCTCAATTCACAAAGTGCAGCGCGTTTCACACGGAAATAGGTCCAGTTTGGATTTGTCGTGACTCCGAGTTTCATGCCACTGCAATCATCAGACGACTCTCTCTCTCTATCTTTCTTGAAGAATATGTTATTTGATTCGGCACCAGGTCACATGCCTAGATTTTTTTACTATTAATTTTAATAACACAGCCCTACTGGAAAACAGTTGGCGAACAAAGAGAAACGAGGAAAAGGACAAACCATAGGGGATGTAGGTTGCCAGGCGAAACACAGGGAAACGTCTTGAAAACACTTGACCTGGAATAATTTTGTGGTAGAGACACTATTGCCTGATTGTTTTGTTCTGTATGTATCTGCGTGGGTGTGCATGTGTGTGTGTGTGTGTGTGTGTGTGTGTGTGTGTGTGTGTGTGTGTGTGTGTATGTCTGTGTGTCGGTGGATGTGTGCGCACGTGTATGGTGTGTGTGTGTTTGTGTTTGTGTCTGTGTTTGTACATCCATAGCAAGTGCCAATCACCTAGTCTTCCTGTTGTGTAACCTGGGCTTCATCGTAGCTATACCTCCCGCCGGCCCGGGCCTCAGGCACACGGACTCGCGCAATGTTGCCGAGAAGAGTCGATATCGCTTTCAGGTACATTGTGCGTCCAACTCCCTTAGGCTGTCATCACACCATGGTACAAAGCGCTGCGTCTACGTCCACGTTAGGAGTTTTTGGTCGGTTGTCATGATGATCCGTATACGGGGTGAAAACGGGAGCAGAGGAAACGGGAGACGTGGACGTGGTATGGAGAGGGGGGGTATACGACTTTTTGTATGAACGTGCGTATCTCCCCCAGCCTTTTTCCGAGCGACCCTGTACTTCGATGTACGTGGGTTCAAATTTCTCCAAAAACCTGACTGTGTCACACAGTGTGTGTACGCGTCAAGAACTGTGCCTGTCTGATGACACGACCACCCGTTTTGGTTTTTTCACCATAGACGTAGACGTAAACGGGAGTCGGAGAACGTGGTGTGATGACGGCCTAAATGTTTCGCGACTACAAGCGTTTGTAAACAGACTGAAGAACAGAGCTAGCTTCAGTTTCTTCACAGGCAGTACTTTGAAGAACAAATTCCACAGCCACTTTCATTGCCATTGCACCAAGTGGATACAGGCAGAAATGAAACTAGCCAGTGCAATAACTGTGTTTGTGACCGTGTGTGTACGCGTATGTGTGTGTGTATGTGGTGTTGCTTGCAGAATCATGACTACCTGCCGAGCAACGTAGGGCGTAACACAGACTTTGACTATGGTGAGTTCCGTACGAAAGTTGGTTTCGAGCCGCTGGGAATGCGTGGTCTTTCCTTCACGATGTCACGATGCCGCCGCACCACGTCAACACGTTTGTGCACAGATGTGTGTGCGTGGGTTGCACAGGCTCCCTGTTGTCTGATTTGATTGTGTCTTCTGTGGTTGTCTTTAATATGCTGTTGTTTGTGGCGGTCCTTGTTGTTGTTGCTGCTGCTGTTGTTGTTGCTGCTGCTGTTGTTGTTGTTGTTGTTGTCGTTGTCGTTGTCGTCGTCGTCGTTGCTGTTGCCGTTGGTTGTTGTTGTTTTTGTTTTGTTGTTGTTGTTGTTGTTTTTGTTGTTGTTGTTGTTGTTGTTGTTTTTGTTTTGTTGTTGTTGTTGTTGTTTTTGTTGTTGTTGTTGCTGCTGCTGCTGCTGCTGCTTCTGCTGCTGCTGCTGCTGTCGTCGTCGTCGTCGTCGTTGCCGTTGGTTGTTGTTGTTTTTGTGTACAGCTGCCTATCTCTACCGTGTCATCGCACTCAGCTCACATCACAGCACTTTGCCGTATGAGCAGGTAAGTGTGACAGCCGTGCATGCAGCCCTGCCATCGTACTACAAAAAAGATCACGCCACCCTGTTCAACATGTGCAACATAGCACATACTGTAACACATGTAATTTTAGGTGCATTAAAATTTCGGTGCCGGAGACCTGCCAGGTTTCAGGTGTAATTTAGAATTGGGTGACCAGCATTCCCTTCACATACCTTGCATACTCTAGTGCCTTTTAGGTGTAATTTAAATTTAGGTGCCTGGTTTCTCTACCGAAATCACCGAAATTAAAGTTACACCGAAAATCACGTGTTTTACGGTAGTTAGACTCGGGTGGAGAGCCAATTGATTAATTTTTGAGGAGAAAAGAGGACCACAGAGCTACAGTTTACGCCAAGAGTCCATAAACAAGAGTGTGCAACGCGCGATAGGCTCTTGTCACGACTCGTTTTCAACATTACGTCATTTTCATGTAGCGAATGTCGCGGCCTGCACGCACGCGCAGCTACATGAAAATGACGTAATGTTGAAAACGAGTCGTGACAGACATTTATTCGGCGTTGCACACTCTGGGGTTTATGGACTCTTGGTTACGCTATAATATCCACTAGGACCACCAGTTACTTTACAACCAGCTCATGCGATAACACTGCACAACACTGGCCAACGCTCTTTGGTCCTCTTTTCTTCTTATACGTAGTGCATAATGCAATTTTCTGTGATGTCCTACGATCTATAAAATTATAATACGGTCACTTGCTCACCAGCACTCTGTACCCATAAGAATAGCGTTCTGTGTACCCACTTCATCATTGTTTGGGAGAGAAAACTGTGTGGGTGCAGAATATCAAGCTTTTACGGAGGCATGATTTGCGATGGACAGCTGTGGGCGTGAGATGAAAATGCTAGATTTGGCATGTCGGCGTGACTATGCATGTGTGTGCGCCCGGCTGCGTGGATTTGTGCATGTGTGTGTGTGTGTGTGTGTGTGTGTGTGTGTGTGTGTGTGTGTGTGTGTGTGTGTGTGTGTGTGTGTGTGTGTGTGTGTGTGTGTGTGTGTGTGTGTGTGTGTGTGTGTGTGTGTGTGTGTGTGTGTGTGTGTGTGTGTGTGTGTGTGTGTGTGTGTGTGTGTGTGTGTGTGTGTGTGTGTGTGTGTGTGTGTGTGTGTGTGTGTGTGTGTGTGTGTGTGTGTGTGTGTGTGTGTGTGTGTGTGTGTGTGTGTGTGTGTGTGTGTGTGTGTGTGTGTGTGTGTGTGTGTGTGTGTGTGTGTGTGTGTGTGTGTGTGTGTGTGTGTGTGTGTGTGTGTGTGTGTGTGTGTGTGTGTGTGTGTGTGTGTGTGCACCCATAGGAGGCGCTGGATCGACTTCAGCGAAAACTTGCAATAGACTGGCGAGCAGTGCAGAAGTGTGCTGGTGATCGAAGAGCGTGAGTCCTAACATACCGATTTCTTACCGTACTACTGGTGTGTATGTGTGTGTGTGCTGTGTTACTTGCTATGGGGATAGATTAGAGTGACACACACACGCTCGCACACTCGCGTGCACACACACACATACACACACTCTCTCTCTCTCTCTCTCTCTCTCTCTCTCTCTCTCTCTCTCTTTGAAAAAGAACCACCCCCGTGGATGACATGGTTGACAGATCATTTTCACTTGTTCTGTCTACTGTGTTGTGGTATCATCAAGTCTATGTGATGATTAGTTATATTGAAATAGAATAATGCAACGAAGGACTGAGAGAGGACGACTCGTCACGCAGTCCACGGTATACATGGATGGTGCTATCATGCTTGAGCGAGCCGGTGGTGAGAGTGGCAGAGATTTTGCCAGCTGAAACGAGGCGTTCACCATTGGCAGCATGCACATTATCATGGTCTGTGGCCAGATTCTCCACAAAACCACCGAGATGCGCTAACTGATCGACGCCAATAGCGTCAACGTCACTTCCCGTATCGGGGATCCATTCTAGAGAGGTAGTGTCAGGTTCAGTGCACAATTGCGTGTCGACTGGCACCGTAGGAGATGCATGACACTGAGCGCGGCGAAGCTGTAGTCGTCCCAGCATGCGCTGCGAGGACTGGTCAGCCGGTTTGCGGGATTTTCTGCACACCGCTTGGAAATGTCCAATAGTCTTGCAGCCGCTACACTTCTTGCCGTGTGCAGGACACTGCGACTTGCTGGCGTGGGGAGTGCGACCACAATTCAGACATTTCGATGGCATGGCGGACGGCTGTTGCTGTCGCGGGTTACTGCCCTGTTTAGACCGCTGGTAATCTGTTTTCCGAGCGGCATTGACGGAGCTAGTGCCGGGGATACTGCTGCTCGTCCGAGAGGCTGCCTCCTCCGCTCGACACAATTTAATTACCTTCCCCAACGTTAGATTGGTGGTGGCAAGGAGCTTATGGCGTGTCTCCGTGTCGAGAATGCCAGTAACCAGGCGATCACGCATGGTCTCGTCGTACCTGGTACGCTGTCCCTGCTGGCATTGACTGCATACTCTGCTTGAACAGAAGTTGCAGAGTGCAGCTTCGCTAAAATCGCAGCAATTGTGGATCTCCCTGAGGGAAGTCAGGTAGTGATCGAAGGACTTTCCATGCTGCTGTTGGCGGGCATAGAAGGCGATCTGGTCCAGCAGAGGGTTCCGCTGTCCGCGAATGTATGCTTGTAGAGCCTTGATGAGATCGTCGTCGTCGTGGTTGTCAGCCAGAGGAATTGTGCCCTCATGAAGAAATCTCCGGAGGTCCTCGTCCAGGCACTGACGAACAGTTGCCACTCTGGTGGCATTGTCCTGGGAATCCAGGTGCTGGCACCGGGCGTAGTCCTGCCAAAGACCTTCCCAGGCGGCAAACTCTGCGAGTGAGGCAGAGGCAAGTAACAGAGGGCGATCGACCGAAACTGGTCTCGCCGCAGGTACATGTACGCGTGCCGGTGGGGCTGGGGGTGGACGTTGCGGTGGTGGAGGTTGAGAAATGCTCCTCAAAGTTCGCTCCGCGAGCTGTGTCAGGTGTTGCTCGCGGGTAGCGGCGGTCTCCATCTGCTGTCTCATGAGCTGGGTGAGGGCAGCAATGTCAGGGCTGAGTACTGGTGTGTCTGATTCCGCCATGCCGAAACGGAAATAATTTCAAATAATTTCACTTTATTTGAAAGACGAAGCGCCAGAGGTAGATCTACTAGCAAGACCAAGACCTGAGAAAGACTAATGGAAACAGCTACTAAAACAAGTTCACTGCGCCATGTGGTATCATCAAGTCTATGTGATGATTAGTTATATTGAAATAGAATAATGCAACGAAGGACTGAGAGAGGACGACTCGTCAGGAAACTTCCAAGGAAAGACTGACCAGCAACAAGAGACATGCACTGTCGATTATGGGCACGGAGTACACACATGCATGCATAGTATGAGTAGCATGCTGTAAGGTCATACGCACGTCCATGCAAGGAGATGCAGTACCACAATAAGAAACACGAGAGTGCAAATATGTGCGATGTACACGGGTACACCACGTGTGTTGTGGAAAGTTTTTGGTTTACCTAAGCTCAAAAGCACCTTTGATGCCATACAGTTTGAGGCAGTCCACAGCGCTATCTCCACGAGAAAGACAATGCTGCTGGTTGTTGTTTGGTGCGGCTGCTGCTGCTGCTGCTGCTGCTGGGGGTTGTGTTTGTGCGGGCGTGCATGTGTATGTGGGGTTCGTGGGTGTTTTTATGTGCACTTGCATGTGTATGTGTGCCGCTAGGGGTTACCAGGTGTAAACGGCCGTCCGAGTTCCCTTCGGGAACCGGCACAATAATTTTCTCTTAAAAATACCTTTATGTGTATGTGTTGCAGGATTTTGAAGGCAATGCCAGCAGAGGAACGTCACTCCTGTTATCTGCAGGAACGCAAGTTCTGGAGAGTGGTGCGTCCTCCGGTAAGTACTTGCGCGTCCGTGTGCCTGCGTGTTGCCAACACTAGCTTTCCTGTCACACCTGTTACAAGCTTCATCATGCTTGCTGTAGTCCTGCCGTGTATAATGTAGCAGCCAAAGCATGAAAGTGTTTTACGTTGTGACGCACTCTGTGTCATATGTTGTTGCTGTGGTGCTGGTGGTGGTGGTGCTGCTGCTGCTGCTGCTGCTGTTGCCATTGATCTTGATCTCGTTGTTGTTGTTGTTCTTGTTGTTGTTGTTGTTCTTGTTGTATATTGTCTCATTATTGTGTGTGTCTGTCCTTGTGTATACGTGTGTGTTGCCAATTGTCCTGTGCAGCCGCGAGCGGCTTGTCCCCTGCGGTCGGCCGACCACCCGTGGAACGAGCCCAACTCTCACGAGCAGCTGCTGGAGTCGACCGAGGCGAGCATCGCCACCGGCCGCTCCACGATCTCCAACTTCACGCTGGACTCGTCGGCCTCTCTGACGGCTCTGGACCGCCTCCGCTCGCGCTCCATGGGCAGCCGGGAGCAGATAGCACGGCGACGGCGCAAGAAGCAGACGGAGCGCGACGTCAGCAGCCTGCCGACGGTGCGGCCCAGCGAGAGCCAGCTGGACCATCGCATGCAGTCCATGGTCAACGACAAGCAGATGCGCAACGACATGTGGCTGCGCTCGCTGCAGGACCCCTACGGCGGTCTGAGCCTGCGCACGCTGGACGAAGGCAACACAGCGCCATCGCTCGCCGCCATTACGGGCCGCACCGACCTGGCCAACATGGAGGCCAGTGCTAACAGCACCCCCGAGCAGCAGCGAGGAAGCTCCGTCGGCACGCTATGGAAACCCATCGCCGAGGCAACCAGTGCCCCGCGCCACTCCAGCCTCACCTCGTCCGTCGGCGCAGGCACGGAGCGCGAGGATTGCTTGGCGCCGCATTCGCGCGGCTCGTTTTCGTCGCTGCTGCGCGCTCCGCGGTCGGCGTCGCCGGGCAACTCGCTCACCGTCTGTGCAGGCTCGGTAGGAGACGGTCGTCTGTCGCCCTCAGCTGCTTCGTCTGATCTGGACGAGGCGTCACCGATTGTAGAGGTTTGTTCTAGAAGATGTACATGTACATGTATACACACTTGAGAGGGACGAAAAGCGTTTCTTCTGTAACTCTGAGTTTCACGGTTTTAACCGATCATCAGACAGCAACTTGACTACAATTTTCAGAAGATAAGATTGATATAGGCTGCAAGCTTGGATCATAGCGCGAATGGATGATCCGGGCTGATAGTGTAATTGTATATGTACATGTCCAGTACTGCTCAATGCCATCCAGTCGCGCCGCTTCAAGTACCGGTACGCACGGGACGTTGCGCAGCCATAGACCTGTGAGCACTGCGGTGCAACATGATGCAAGGCGCAAGCTTGAGTCGGACGCGACTGGATTTCATTGAGCAGCATTGTTGTTGTCAGCATGTATAAGAGAACGTGGTCCTGGTGGACTGTTAGTCATAGTTCGTAGCACGTTGGTCCTTTCTCTCATACATGAATACTGTTGGCTCACCATCAAAGTTTGAGTCGTCAACATGCTTTTTTTTTATCTCGGGTGGTGAGCCAATTAAATTATGGTGAAAAAGGACTGTATAAGATCTGGTCACGTTGCTGGACAGTTAGTCATAACTCGTAACATTTTGTCCTTCTCCTTTCTCACCATAATTTTTTTATCGGTACGCAAATCCGGTGACATTAGAGAGGTTCCGCATAACGTAATTACGTTAGTAAAAAACGTAGTCGATCTACGGAAAATCTTACGTAAACTGCATGCGCATCTGGGTTCCGCCATACGGAGTTTTCAAATCACGTAGCTGCCCTTGGCAACTCCGAACGCGGCAGTGTACGACCAGATCGACCTGGGGAGAGAGTCATAAATTTGTACCCCAATCCACTTACGGACCAGCTACGTTATCAGAGCCCTATCTACGTACTCTCCGTAGACAACTTTCCGTAAGTGGAGTGCAAACTCGCGAATTCACGGGTTTTTCCCGCCCACTAACGTAAAGTTGCTCAATTTTACGTAGTGCGGAACCTCTCTATTGTGTGGGCCTTGAGACCGACTTAGTTCAGCTTTTGAAGTAAAAAAATCACGCAACTGACTTGCGTTTGGCGTTTGTGAGAGATGCGGATACTAGCAACTGAGGCTTCTGCGTACTACCTGCGTTATGTTTATGTGGCTCCTGCTTTCCAGTGTTTGCTCATTTCCACCCTTTTTTTGCCCTTGCTCTCTGGCCTGTGTTGTGTGTGTGTGTGTATGTGTGTGTGTGTGTCTGCAGCTGTCAGAAGAAGAGGTCATCCAGAATGAGGTAGGACGCGAGCCTCCGTTGTGTTGTGTTTTGCTGTCTATTGAATGGGAGCTATGCGTAATCTTCCCGTCGTTTGGTTTCGCTGGGCAAGTCCACTTCAGCCATACACACTGTGATACCAGCCCTGCATAAAAGCTCATGAACTGTGTCCAGTTCTACTCATAAATGCACTAGGGCTGGCTGTATCTGACGAATATGGGACGAGTTGCCCCGCAAAATGGCTGCAGCCATGTTTTATGCATAGGTGCCGAATGCAGCAGCAGCAGCAGCAGCAGGGTCTTACGCTGCACTGAGCATTTTCCCGATCAATGCTGACGTGTATATCGTGCAAAGTATGGATTTCGCAACATCCACCTCTTTTTGTCCGGAATAATCAGCAGGATACTGTATCATTGTGCTGTCGAGTGGCAAAGAACGACGGGGGGGGGGGGGGGGGGGGGGGCAATTGGTAGACATGGTTTCCATTTTACCGTTCACCCTAACTTCCACGGTCAGTCTGTACCGTTTTTTGTGTGTTTTCAAGACATGATTTTGGGTTTCTGACACAACGATCGGCTTGTGACATCACCCTAGTTGTAATCTTACCGTTTCGTTCTCCCGGTAAACAGAGCCTTCTAAGTTGTTGTCGAAACGATACCAAACCGACGGTATTTTGGGTGCTGGGTACGAGTACCGTTGTATTTAGCGCAAACGGTAAAATGCTAACCATGTCCAGTGTTCGTGATTGGTTGCTTACAAGCGATTGGTTTCCCATGTTCGCTTCCATCCTGTGTTACAGATTGCATCGCTGGAGGGTCGCCTGCATCAGCCATACCTCTCTGTCGAGCGAATCATCGGAGTGTAAGTAGAAATGGCTCACAGTAGATAGATGTACTGTAAAAGCAGACCATTTCGGTGGTGTTTTAGTTTAACTTTGGTGCCGACATTTTTACCGAGAATAAAACGCACTGAAAATGTCGGTACTACTGTTGTGGACATGGAAATCCAGTCGATTGACCGGGGCCGGCGCCCTCAGCGCGTACAGAACAGTGCATGCATGCAGTGTGCACAGTAATGCTGAGGCCGAAGACCTGTAGCGTGTACTGCTTACCCACGGCTGCATGGCCAGCGCCCTGGGGCCGCTAGACGTGCGACCGGATTTCCATGTCCACGGCAGTAGTACAAGACTCAAGTACACTTACCTGGAGAACGGGTTTACCAAAAATTTCCCTCCACCGAACCGCCGATTTTGGAGAATACCGAAAATTTCTGCTTTTAGGCCATGGTAAAAAATATCTTTGATTCTCAAGTACGCGCGCATCGATTTTTGGTGGCGCACCGACGATTTTTTTTTATTTCTATGCATGCATATGCGTGCATGAAAACGGTCAATGCGAAAGGCATGAATCCGGGAGTAGTAAAATACCGGTATTTTTCTACTCCCTGGCCTGAATAATAAAACGAGAGAGCTTGGAAGCTCAGGGCCCTACGCTATGCTTTTTTGCCTTGATGACCTAGACAAAAAAAAAGCATAGGGATGTTATAAATTCTTTCAAAAATTCCTTTTTTTTAGACATAACCTGGGATTCGAACCCGCACTATCGCGCGCCCTGCATTCATCCCCCGATGCACTTCGCATACATACTAATTCTTCCAAGTTGTTTCACATTGTGATCTTGCATTTGAAAGCCCTATTTGAGTTATATGCATTGTGGCCAGCCGTCTTTGATGGCACGGTACGGTAGGGGATAGGTACGGGACAGGTACGATCGAGGGTAATACGACACCGTCTCCCGTACCGTACCGTACCATCAAACACAGCTGGCCACATACAGCTTCCCGCAATATTCAAATAGGGCTTTCAAACGCAAGATAATAACGTAACGCAACTTGGAAGAATGGGTATGAATGCGAAGTGTATGGGGGAATGCATGTAGGGCGATAGTGCGGGTTCGAATCCCAGGATATGCCTGAAAAAAAGGAGAATTGAAAAATTTATAACATCCTATGCTTTTTTGCCGTCAGATACGGATAGCGCCAGGCGTGACACAAACAAACAAACACACAAACAAACACCAAACGAGAGAGCTTGGAAGCTCAGGGCCCTACGCTATGCTTTTATGCTTTTTTGCCTAGCTCATCGTACATGTTATAAGAACTGATGGAATTGTCTTTTTCCGTTCATTGGCCACATCACTGTATTGCAAAAACGTTTCAATCGGTTTGAATATTATGAGTTAGGCAAAAGTATTTGCAGAATTTATTGCGGATTGTTGTTT